TAAATATATTTCTTAGCTAATATAAGGCGATATCAATTCATCCAACGAATTAAAGTTAATGATAACATGACTAAATAATGATAATAAACCTTTGCTTCAGTTTCACCATAAAATTTGCTCGTTATTTCTGGCCCGTTCACACATATCACATGTGCCTCAGTTTCCGAAGAGACGGCACGTGCAATCAATGTTTTACCTGTCCCGGGAGGACCATACAAGAGTATCCCCTTTGGCGGTCGCAGTCCTAATAAAAAATATATATATATATAAATTTGACTAGTAAATGTACCCATAAAATTTTCAAGAAAAACAATTATCTTACCGTACTGCGTAAATAACTCTGGATTTCTAAATGAGTTCTCAACCATCTCACGTACTATTCGAACTTGTTCAGATAGTCCACCAATGCTATCGTATCCGATCTTATGAATCTTCATCGAGTCATCAATTCTCGCGTATTCCTTATGTTTAAATTAAAATGTTTATTTGCAATCAAAGCAATACGTAGCATTTTAGTATGAAATTGTGGTTACATTTGGTAAGATAGCAACTGTTGTTTCTTTTGTAATAGAATAGATGGCTGTTTCCACGCTACACTTTGTAAATTCTTTTATAGGGCAGATATTAACAACACGAAATGACCTAACCACCCCATGATATTGAAACTCGATGCGATTTCCTTTCATTGAATATTTAGTGTCAACTGTATGCAAAAACGTATTAAATAAGACGAAATGAAATAAGAATGTATATACATATACATATATATGCACGAAAACCGCACATACTCAGGATTTCCTTTGCAAGTATATTCAGAAACTGATCAATTGGAAAGTCTATAACTCCAAGCGGTTCCAAGACAACTTTTGAAGCACTTATAATTGCGCAATCAACTCGAGAGATATAAACAGGATCACCAGCTTGAAGGTCAGCATTTTCACATTGCAGAGGATTGAGTTGTATTTCTTTGATATATGAACCAGACATATTTAATTGTTTGAAACAAATAATGCGACTGCGACATATTAATATGAAAAAAATAACGTACGGTCCTTCCTGATTGTAAATGATGGCCAGGCAATTCCTATAGTGATCTTTTTTTTTTTAAAAAAAAAAAAAGTTATCCTTTAATACATATGAAAATAATAATAAATGAACCGATCTAGAGATCTCATTCTTTCGTACCTCAGATGTGGATTCAAATTTTTTTACGAAAACATAATCACCAATACGAATATTACGTTCACGTAAGACCTCCACATTTAAGTATATCCTCCTTCTGACACGCAAATTTTTATCGTCAACAGATTTTACTTGAACAAGAAGTTCAGACATCTTTTGCGATTAGCTCTGAATTGTACTAAAGAATTTTTTATCAGCCAATCATATTCAATTATTAATAGATTATCGGTAAATTTTTTCCACCCCTGAAATTTTAACCAATCAAAATTTAAGATCAGGTGTAACGTGATAGCCAAAACAAATTGTTTTGTTTCTATATAAGTAAAATTAAATCTAAGAAAACCGCGTTAAAGTTAGGGTTATAGTTAGAAAAATATGACGGTTATTAGTAGGACCATTTTTAATTAGGCCGCAGAAGATGGTTTCCTAATAAAAATTTAGAGCTATTCTAAAAAAGCGATCCGTTTCAATTTTTACGTTACACCTGATCTTAAAATTCGATTGGTCAAAATTACAGGGGTGGAAAAAATTTCGTGGGACAGCTAGAGGCTTTTTATAAAAGGGGGTCTTTTAGTCCACGCTGTAGGTACTATTCGTAATAGCGCACCAATTTTTCACGGATGATTCGAACCGTCCTAGCGTTACCAACCTAAAAAATTTCGCACGACCAATCAAAATTTAGCGATCATCCAAATTTTTTAAGATTTTCCAAACTTCTAGCGAAGGTTTCTCAATAACTACTTGATCAAATTCGGTGAAAATTTTTTTATTTCAATCCCATACTTCTGTAGAATCAAAATAAAAAAAAATTTATTGAATTTGGTTTAGTGGTTGTCGAGAAATCCTAGCTAGAA